TTTTTAACCGGATTTTTGAAGGAAATACTGGTTATTAAAATGGTGATGTACGGCGGGCGGCTGGGCGGATCTACTGGCGGCTGCCAAACAGTGTCAGCACAATAACATGAAAACGATTTAACAATTTTTTTTTCAAATTTAAATATGTTGTTTCCTGGGATTTAATGAAGGTCTAGTTCAATTTTCAAGATATTAGTATATCTCCTTTGTGAGTTATCGCCATTTTTAATGTCCAAAAGTGGAATTTTAAAATATTTTACTCTTGTTATCTTTTTTATGACTAAGCATAATGTCTTATCTCACAATAAAAATTGGAGTGACAGATTTATTTGAAAATTATCTATTTCCTAAGTGGTAATGATTATAAGCTATATTATTAGACATTTTGAGGTTAATTACATTATTAATTATTAATTAAATCTGGGTTATATCTTAGCATATAATATCATTGGAGTGACAGATTTATTTGAAAATTTTCTGTTTCCTGATAAGATCTGTAGGACTGTATATATAAAGTTTGAAATTTACTACTAGGACTGTATAAATGAAATTTGAAAACTGTTCATTATTAGACATTTTGTAGATAATTAAGTCTCCCTAAACCATATATATTCTTACCCCCACCCCCTTTCAATTTGAGAATGTGCTTTTATCTGATAAACGGTTGAGATCCCCGACCCTAAACCATATATATTCTTGTATGGGACAACAAAACAAATCAAATGAAATGAATGGCGAGTCCCCTGGGGTCACCCCACCCCCTCCTGTTTGTGAACTTGTAAAAAGTCGAGATCCCCACCCCTAAACCATATATATTCTTGTACGGGACAATAACACAAATCAAATGAAATATAGGGGAAGTCCATGGAGGTCACCCCCACCCCCCTACTTTTTGAAAACTTGTAAACGGTCAAGATCCCCACCCCAAAACCATATATATTGTTGTATGGGACAATAAAACAAATCTGATGAAATAAAAGGCGAGTCCCCTGGGGTCACCCAACCCATTCTGTTTAAGAACTTGTAAACCGTCGGGATCCCCATCCCTAAACCATATATATTCTTGAATGGGACAATAAAAGAAATCAAATAATATATAGGGTGAGTCCATGGGGGTCACCCCCACCCCCCTTCTTTTTGATAACTTGTAAACAGTCGAGATCCCAACCCCTAAACCATATATATTCTTGAATGGGACAATAAAACAAATCAAATGAAATTGAGGGGGAGTCCCCTGGGGTCACCCACCCCCTTTTTTTTGGAAAATTTGTAAACGGTCAAAATCTCCAGCCCGAAACCATATATATTCTTGTATGGGACAATCAAACAAATTAAATGAAAAACAAGGAGAGTCCCCTGGGGTCAACCCCATCCCCTCCTGTTTAGGAACTTGTAAACGGTCGAGATCCCCACCCCTAAACCATGTATATTCTTGTATGGGACAATATCACAAATCAAATGAAATATAGGGGAAGTCCATGGGGGTCACCCCCTTCCCCTTTCTTTTTGAAAACTTGTAAACGGTCAAGATCCACACCCTGAAACTATATATATTCTTGTATGGGACAATAAAACAAATCAAATAAAAAATAAAAGGCGAGTCCCCTGGGGTCACCCCCTCCTGTTTGAGAACTTGTAAACGGTCAAGATCCCCATCCCTAAACCATATATATTCTTGTATGCAATAAAACAAATCAAATGAAATATAGGGGAAGTCCATGGGGGTCACTCCCACCCCCTTCTTTTTGATAACTTGTAAACGGTCTAGATCCCCACCCCTAAACCATATATATTATTGAATGGGACAATAAAACAAATCAAATGAAATTAAGGGAAAAACACCTGGGGTAACCCCATCCCCCTTCTTTTTGAAAACTTGTAAACGGTCAAGATCCCCATGCGGAAACCATATATATTCTTGTATGGGACCATAAAACAAATCAAATGAAATATAAGGCGAGTCCCCTGGGGTCACCCCCACCGCCTCCTGTTTAAGAACTTGTAAACAGTCAGGATCCCTACCCCTAAACCATATATATTCTTGTACAGGACAAAAAAAAAAACAAATCATATGAAATAAAGGGAGAGTCCCCTGGGGTTCACACCCCCCTCCCCCCCTTTTTGAGACCTTGTAAACGGTAGAGATCTCCACCCCTAAACCATATAAATTCCTGTTCGTAATTTCAAGAAGATTTGAATGACATACTGGGTCAATCCATAGGCGTCACTAATGCATATCATAAACCAATTTGTACTGGACATTGCCCAAGTCAAGCGATAATGGGAATGACGAATTATTGGAGCTTTGTTTGGGAGACTTCGTAACAGCATTCTGTTACAATTATTTCTTGTTACTGATAAGTTTTATAGATTTTGAAATGACATTGTATTAATGATAAATAAAATTTAGGATTTTTTTCTTCTTTTCTTTGGTAAATTGTTTGTAGAATTGTGTGGCAAGTTTGTTTGTTATTCTGTAAAAACTAATTTTCTGAATGCTATATATATTTTTTCTTTTGATGAAGTAAACTCCTTTAAAAACTAAGCTTATATTGTCTATTAATAAACATATATTTAGATTTCTGATTTTGGGCCCAGTTTTCAAGTTGGTCCAAATTGAGGTCCAACATTAAACTGTGTTTGATTTCAACATAAATTGAATATATATAGGGTTCTTTGAAATGCTTAATCTAAACCTGTATTTCTTTTCATTATTAATAAGATAATACCACATTGAGGTCTAAAGGGTCCTAAATTACACTTTTGATTAATTTCATCAAACATTGAATTCTTTGGTTCTTTGATATGCTGGTTCTAGCAATGTTTGAGTGTTAAATCATATCTAATTTTAGAGAACTTAGAAATCACTGGTTGTTGTTATTATATTATTGGTTATAATTTGAAAAAAATGCATCATATCTTATTTTAGAGAACTATTTTTTAACATATTTTCATTTTTTTTATTTTATCAAAGGCCATGTTTAACCAAAATTTCTTATTATTATTGGAATAAAATATACGATATTGCTTCCATCAGAATTTTGCTTTCGATTAAGAATGTCTTCCTAATACATATCTTAAACAATGACAAAAAAAGTCAACCAATTTTTCGATGATAAATAAAGGCAACAGTAGTATACCGCTGTTCATTAGTCATAGTTCGATAAAGCAAAAGCAAATACGGGTAACAAACTAAAACCGAGGGGAACATATCAACTATTACAGGAAAACAACGGAACAACAGAAACACTGAATTGGAGTTCTTAAAGGACATGGACCTCGTATGAAATAGATATTACAAATACCTATGCTGGTGGACAATCAGTTCCCGAGCGTATCATCATGCAGCTCAGTAGTCAGTACTTCGGAACTAACATGATTAGTAACATACCTTCCTCAAATTGTCCGTTTATAAATTGAAAATTATTAAGAAACTAAGGTTTCAACACCATCAGGCTTGGGTGAATTTGGCTATTATTTTTTGTCCTTTTTTGGTCTTATAGCTCTTCAACTGTTTCGGTTCTTACACATCCATGGTTTTCAAATATTCGGCTTCGAGCGTTTTCTTCTGATTATTATTTTTTTTCTTCCGCCACTTTTATTTCTTGCCTGGCTTTTTTTGTTTCGCAATATGCCGTTTAGATTTTTTGACACATGATATCGAACAGTATTTACATGTACGCTTTTGGAACTGAAAAAAAGTATGACAAAAATACTGACCTCCAAGGTGACTTCCATAGAAACTGACAACATTAAACGTTATCAACCAACAGAACGAGTGCAAAACAACTGTCATATTCCTGACTCCGTTTAACCGCACAATTTCCTTTGTAAGATTTATCTCCCCGAACACTGTGTTCTTGTGTTCGCCTCTCATTCGCAATCATAAAAGATTACAACAAAATTATTTTCCCAAATTGCTCGTAATATCCTCAGAATGTCAAGAATAATTTTGATCTAAGCAGTCTGGAGACCCCATATGAGAGTTATTTTCCCTTATGTATTTGATATAAGTGATATGTATTTGTAACTTGTTAGTCATATGTGATAGAGACCAAGGGTTCTTTGATTTAAAGTCATTGGTCCACAAAAAAAAATTAGATCAAAGTTAGGGGCCAAGGTTATGTTCCATTTTTTTTAATTTTTGCTAATTATCACAACTAAAAACTGTAAAAGATATCGATATGATTTGTTTACTACATTATTAATTTCAACATGTCGTATGATATAAATTTTTGTGGAAAGGGTACGTTGACATTTGAAGGGAGCTTTCTCCTCTCATATGCTTAAAATAAGATATATATATATATATAACCATTTATAGTAGAGACCTAGTGTCTTTTGGTTTGAGGTCCTTGCTTTATGATATCGAAATTGAGGTCAAGGTTATAGTTGAATTTGTCGTTCTAGACCTTTGCTATTAATTCATATTTATACATTATCAAGTCATATGGTCTTTAACATCAGGTTTAGTTATTTTTAATAAAGGTAGTTTAACTTCATCATTATCTTCTTATATTCACATTCAATTATTTCAATTCAAATGGAAACACAAATTCAGCAACAATCTTTTGGTGACCAGTCAGCGGTCTTAGGTTCACGTATTGCTTTTCTCTTTTTTAAAGAAAGCAACTTGTTTGGAATTAGAGTGATGTAACGTATCATATGAATCCGGCGAAGTTGATAGACCGGAAATAGTGGATTATCTCCATTATTTCAATTTAGAATATTTAGAAATCTTATATTTTTGAATCAGTGTAAAGAAAGCTTTTATATGACACCGGAAGTGACATTGATTTTACGGGAATTTGCTTATTATCTCCTTTATTTTTTTATGAAAAAAAGTTGGTGTCCTTTGAAAAAATAAGCTATCCTTTGACACAAGAGTAACAACTTTTCATCCTAGTTTTCTTATCGTAAGTGAATTTGATTCGGGTGGAGAGACCTTAAATTGTTCTATGAACTATTGTTTTTTAGAATTATTATTGTTATCTTTACAGGAAACCAAAAAGTGTCGCACCGACAAAAACAATTTTTACACCGAAATCAATACAAGGTATGTATGCTCGTGATCGTTCATTATTATATCATTTCAAAACAGGCATTGTCCAATATTTTATCGACTCAAAAGGTATATCAACCAGCTGTATTCACGTTGTTACATGTATTATCAAACATTACCGGAAGGTATAGGTCATCGACTTCGTCTTTGGAGCGGAGCTTTGCTATTTAATTTGTGCCCCAAAAAATAATGCATTTGCGCCAAAATAGAATATTGTATTTATATTTTTACCATGCAGGTTATTTTTATACTTATTCATATCGTCCGTTATCCAGCATTTTATCTAATCCCTCGTCTACACGGGGATGGGTGGAATTAAGGAGCATATCGAGCACAGTAAGTTTCTTAACATTTTCGAAGTTAACAGATCTTAAAATTTTGAACACAAAAACGTGTGTTTCCTTTTCGTTTGTATGACAGCGATAATGAACATTGTGTCAGAGAAACATTTCCAACGATAAATGTTGATTACTAAGTAATTATTTAATTTTGGATGTAACACGTCTTCTGATTGACTGAATTTTTTTTTGTCTATCAGCTCATAGACATAATTTTGTCATCAACGTTTTTTTCATGATTTACTCCTTAAAATGGAATTTAGAATTAAATTATAAGGAATGACTGTAATATTGTTTCTGTCTTTTCGAAATAACCTAAATAATGTGGTGCTACGCGGGTTATTCAGTGTGCTCCACATTTTTGATGTTATTTCTTCATAGACATACAAATATTACAGTCATTCCTTAAATAACATATTTAAAAGATACTGTAGATCTTTCATTGTATTCCTTGCTTTTATAGACTGATAAATTTTGTTTAGGCGGGGTATTTGTAAAAATTCCAATCGAGAGAAGTTAAAATTTTCTGAGCAGCTAGGCGAATGAAATTTCTTTTCAAATCTGGTATTTTTTCGAAAATATACCTCCTAAACATGCTATATCTGTCTAATTACACCGGATACCAATACAGCTGATTACGTTTAACTCTAGATATATAGTTCCGTTACTCTTTCGCTCAAGACTTTGGCAAACACAACCACATTTGATAGAGCACAGAAAATCACGTGAAGGGTAAAAAGGCATATACGTTTGAGCAAAAACCACGCCAGACAAGAATGAGATATTAGCAGTATTCATAAAAGAAAATGCAGAACAGTTACATCAGCTTTCAACAAATTAAAATCCAGGATACGTATACAAAGTGTAATTAATGTCATGTATTGAGGTAAAGATCTTAAAAAAAAGTTTATTCTTATCGAAATCCTAGTATCCAATGTCAAGGTCATATTTTACAGTAATAGACAGAAATAATTTCAGAAACGGGATATCAGGAAAATAACCCTATAGCTAATCAAACGAATGTTTGTTGGTTTAAAAGCCTGGGCCCGTATGCATAAAGCTACTTAAGTTAAGATTTTCCTTAGTAAACACTTAAGTTAAGGAAACTCCGCCCTTTTTATCTTAGTGGTATGCATAAAAAATCTTAAACTTAGTATTTCCTTAGTAAAATCTTAGTTGTTTTAAATCACGCCCACAAAACTTAAGTGGTATGCATAAAACCCCTTATACTAAGAAAACGCCTAAGATTTCACTTAAGTCTAAGGTACCTATAGAGCTACCTTAAATTTTCAAAAATAGTTAAAAATCAGTCAAAAGTATGCGTTATTTGCAGAACATTCATAGATTAGCTTCAATTTAATTGATTGATAAGTTACTGTATATCAGTAATAAAATACTAATAATTCGTTTGTTAATTGCTTAATATATATCATCGTAATTTTCTTAAAATCACGCATAATCAAACAAATCAAGAGATAACAGAGGGTAGTTATAAACTTCATTCTACCCTTCTTTTCGAATCTCGTTGTTGTGTTTCCGAACAGTACTCAGTTTTCACACGCATGGAATTCATGCTATTATTGTTCTTTTGTTAACTCTGTACGTGCATGTTTACACAAATAACTTCGAACGCTGAATTGTTAAAATACACCGCGTGGTATCAATTGTAACCGTTAGTAAAAAAAAAAACAGTATGAAGGGAGGAAGAGATGAGGAACTTCAGGCATGCAAAACCCTGTTTTCTGTGTGCATGTGTGTGTGTGTGTGTGTGTGTGTGAGAGGGGGGGGGGGGGGGTGGGGGTCAACTATTTAGTTATATTCTAAAGATGTAGGGCAAATTTCTCCTGAATTTGTTTCACTTACAGGGAAAAAATCTGCAGGGACCTCCCTTTTGTGGGAACAAGTTGGTTGATTATTTAGGGAACCACTGGAGCAGGCCCCCTCTTATGGCAGCCAGTCGGCCCCTCCCCTTATAAAAATTTCTGGATCCGCCACTGCTACCCATGGAATTAGAAGTTTATATAACGTATTTATGATACCTAAACCGTATTAAATTATTTTTTCATATTTCCTTATATATTCAGTGATATATTGCTGTAAACGAAAATATTGCTAGGAACGATAAGATGTTGATACATGTAATACCTTACTGTAAACATATGAATCTAATAATGTGTTTTGTCCACTTATGTCATGTAAAAGTACCTAGAACTACAATTTTTGCAAGTGAAATAGTCGATCTTTAAAATGTATATTCAAATAGTAGCTGTATATATATACACATTTCTATTCACAACTATCCAACATTGATTTCAACTGACTTGTGCAAGAATGTACACACCAATACATATTTTTAATAAAGGTAGTTTAACTTCATCATTATCTTCTTATATTCACATTCAATTATTTCAATTCAAATGGAAACACAAATTCAGCAAAATTCGTGGAAATTGATCCTATCCCTTTTTTTGTTGTTAGTGGGAAGTGATAAAAATGTTTATTTCAAATCGAAATAGATTTTTTAAAACCAGGGGTCTGGAAGGGGGTCGGCAGCCCATAAGAAGCTGAACGATTATAGTACATGCTTACAAATTATGCTACCCTGGTGCTACGCCATTGAACCTTTATCATGTTGTGTTAGAGTTTAAAACATATTGTTGTCTCCAGAAAATATAACATCCATGAAAGATGAATTAAAGATTAAGTAGGGGAAGTTTTGGATTGCAAATATTTTTTTCTTCCCATGCTCATCCATCGAAACGTCAACCTTAAAGTTTTCTCTTATGCGCCAATTTTTCATCTGTCATTTTATGTTTCAACATTGTACTATGTTACGTATTATTGAATTGTTTTACATACCAACACCAATTTAACCCCAGCTCTTAATAAAAGTATGTATTGATCAATCAATGTAAATAACCAAAACAAACTTTTACACGGATGAGTACATACGATGAGCTAATATATATCATACGGTAATTAGAGAAAGGTTCCGATTTAAGTATTCCTTAGTTAAGTGAAGACTTAAGTAAGTTTCTGCATACGACTTAAGAATTTTACTTAACTAAGGGAATTCTTAGTGAAATCTAAGTTTAAGGAACACTTAAGTTAAGATGTTTTATGCATACGGGCCCTGTTCTTTTTATAGGTTTATCTTTCTCAATCTCAGTTTTCCATGTATTGTATCTTGAAGAGGTTTTTTTTTGTATTTCATTATCTTTTGTCTTTCGACAATGAACATGGCTATGGTCTTCTTCGACTTATGATTTTGAATGACAATTGGCATTTTAAAACTTTTTATGTTTAATGTTTAAAGGTTCAAAAATGTTGTTTTTGATGTTCCAAAATATTTAAGTCAAAGAATAATTTTCTTATACATAAACATTGATCTTTCAAAAATTATTGTTCAAATATGATATGACCATTATAATTTCTCACTTAAAATCATATGAAACTTCAAATTTAAAAAAAAAGTTGAATATGTTTTATATACTTGAATGGCTAAGTGTTACTATATAACAAGTGTACGTTAACTTTCTTGTAAAAAAAAGTCCTTTATATCATCTTATTTTTCATAAATGTACTGATATTGAATTATTGTCTTTCTGTATACTAATTCGCCGATATTTTCCCGTATGCTGTGACCTTAACTTCATGACCTCTCGTTAGAACTTCGGCCACCGCCCAGTCCAAGTGCGAGGGGAAAACGTGATGAAAGAATGTAAACAAACGTCTACTGGAAGGTAAATAGGAATAACTGACTATGAAAGAACAAATCTAATACAACAAACCATTTAACAACTGTTTAGGAAAATTTAAGTAAAAAATTGGAAACGCATGGAAAATGTAAAAAAAACCCAAATATCATGGCTCTTTCACTTCACTTATTTGTCACGAGCTCCACGTGCTTTGTGTTGATTGTTTATAAATGTCACGATCCGATAAACTTCGGCAACTAACTCGAAAATTAATTTGCTTGATATCAACAGTCACTGAATGAAATATTATCTGTCGATAATACGTTATAGATTCTTAATAATTATAAAAAAAACGTGCATACATGACTTAGTATATATGCATGCTTTGGTTCAATAATTCAATAACATTAAAATTTAAAGAAACTCGTTTCATATGACTTTAAGTGAAATTTTGACCATATTGCATTATAAGCCTTTGGGCCATGTGAGCTTTTCTCATCACCTGGCGTCCGTCATCCGTCGTCGTCTGTCGTCGTCCGTCGTGCCTAACTTTTACAAAAATCTTCTCCTTTGAAACTTACCATATTTAACCAAACTTGGCCACAATCATCTTTAGGGTATTTATAAAAATAAGAAGATGTGGTATGATTGCCAATGAGACATCTCTCAACAAAAGAACAAATGACATAGAAATTAACAACTATAGGTCACCGTACAGTCTTCAACAATGAGCAAAACCGCATAGTCAGCTAAATGACAAATGTAGAACATATAAAACGAGAAAACTAACTGCCTGATTTATGTACAAAATAATGAACGAAAAACAAGTATGATATATTAAGGTTTTTGACCCCTTCTGTGGCCTGTGAATTATGAACTTTTCAAATTGCAATAGCATCAAAACAGCAAATATAATGAATAATAAAGATGGTTCATTTTGTACATATACCGAGGGGAA